GTTCAACTAAGGAGTAGGTCGTCCTATCTGATTGAGCGGGTAATTTTTATATTTTTTTTTACTTGGGCTGCAGGAAGTCTCTCTCATGCCGTGCTATTGCTCCTGATGCGGTAGTGGACCTGCTTTGTCCTTCAATAAAAATGAAGGGCTTCAGTTTATGGTTGGGATAAATTACCGTTGGAGGTGACTCTAGTGACGAATTGATCTGTACGCTCAATCGCTTCTAAGGGATCGCTGTATTCTTCAAGTTGTCAAAGTGGGTTGTTCGAAGGGGATCTACAAGCTGGATGAGTTCAGAATCCAGCGAAGTTAGGTTCGAATGGAAGTCTATATAATATAAATAGGCTAGCTCGCCCGACCATAAAGAGCAACGCTCGCCAGGCGTGTAACAAGACTAGGCTTTGACAAGAGGCCTCAGCCTCAATCTATATGGTGAAAGGTCTTGCTGAAAAGCTCTTCGAGGTAAGTGAAGCGTGACCACCTGCACTCCATCTATTGGCTTGTACAAAGACCTAAGGAACCGAACCTCCTTATAGAGGCTCACCTATGACGGGTTGATAAGATCGGCCAGCTAAACCAAATATCCGAATGGTTCCCATTTAGCGATTTTTTTAAAACAGATCTCCTTCAGGGGTTCAGTGAGTTCAGCTATCACAAATTTATCTTTCTTGGGTTGGGCGTACGATACTTGGTTGATCCGGATTCTCTTCCATCCATTTCTTACCTTTTAGGCTGCGTCTGGAACTAAATAGGATAGGTAATCGATGAAAGGGTAATCCCGAATCTTTGGTTTGGCAGAGTGAGACCTTTATCCTTTATCCCATCTACCTTTCCGGGGACTTCTACTCACTGGAGGAATTCCCAATCATAGATAGAGGAAAGGTTGAATGCTGCCCCCTTCCTCTGACCCCGAATCATTCTTTCAACCTTCGGCCAGGCGCCTAACTAAAAGGCAAGTTCCTAACTAAGAAACCTAAGCTAAAAGCGCAAGTGGGGTGTATCTATAGTCGGCTTTGCCGCTTCACAGCTCCGCAATCCCGCTTCTTTTTTATCTAAAAGAAGCTTCGCAAAGTGCACTCTCAGTCCCCTTCGTACGACAGGGCCCCTGCCATTCTTCCCTCTATGGAACCAGGCCGAATCCCCAACTACGTATAAAAGGGGTCTTGCAATCTGCCCAATATCGTATAAAGCTGCTGCTACTTCGTCCCCTTCGTTGCCTGCTTCAATCAATCTCTTGAAAACGGAAACGTACTTTATTAAGGCGGATGCCCGTGCCCTGCCGAGTGAAGGAGAGATTGTCGTACTTATGGGATCCAAAGTACTAGCCCTGGTCTGGGAGTACTGAGAGTACTGAATACGAGGTATCATATAGTATCTGTTGACCGGACTAGTCTCGTCCCATCTGGGCGGTTTGGCTGACATATCAAAAGGGTAGGATTCCGTTCCCGAGGGGTGAGGCTGCCGCGCTTGGTACGGTGAGTTGCTAGCTATGGACCAAAGAGAAGGGCATATGTGATATCAATTCCGGTTCTTGATGCCCGACCCAACTAGGCGAAACAGCTAAAGAAATGTCAAGTCGAGAGCTAGAGAGAGTAGATGATACGTTCCAAGGGTGAAGCTAACGCTTCCCTGGCCACTAGGGAGTCACAAAGTATGAGTCCATACACTTGCTAGCTAATACTGGATCGTCAAAGACCTGATTCCATTTCTTAATACCTTCCGTCTCTCTCCTAAGGGATCCAATCCGAACTCCTTCCCTCACTTCGTTCATGATAGTCGGTCGAGTGGCCACTGTTCCCCTTTATAGTTGAGTTTCGCCTGTTTCCTTGGCCTTATCTTTTAGTGCTTGTAATCAACGCGGAATCAAATGAACCGGAATCCTATCTATGGGCCTGTAACTAAACTCTGAAAACGGGAACCTCTATTGTCGTCCCACATTCCGAAATGAAAGCGGGAACTCTAATTCCGTTTATCTCCTTAACAGTAGAGCCACTCCTAGTCAGTTGAAGGGTCAGTTCAAGGTTAGCGTCCGATTGTGCGCAATGAATAAATCAATGTATTTGCGGAAAATGGGACGCTGAAGGGGTCGGGTAGTAGCAGCCGATGAAAGCAGAGGCAAGAAGCCTACCAGTCAAGCATTAGATACCTCTCTGGGAGCTCTTCGAGCTCGTATTCAGCTGGTTGACCCTGTCTGTGTAAATAAGAAAGAAAGCGCTCTCCTAGCGTCGCCCGCGAATTTGAAAGAGCCTGCAGATCCTCGTATAGATTCCGAATGTTCTCATAGGACTTCACGGCAAGCTTCCTTAAGACCGGATCGTCATAGATTTCGTACCAATGGTTACATCTTTCGAGCTTTCTTATGATTCTCTCAGGGGGAGTCGTCCCCATGATTTGGAGTTGCTCGGGGGATTCGCCTCCATGATTTGGAGTTGCCCCGCTGGGGTTCTAGTCGTAGCCTTTTTGTTCTTTTGACTAGCCCCGGCGGCAATCGAAAGTCTTTATTCCGAGGAGTATTCCCCCCACACAAGGGGTTGTCCGTCCAGCTTGAAAAGGAACCCACAAATGACGCCTAATTTATATGGAATTGAACATCCAACGTGCGCCCCTCCCATTCAGGGAAGACCCGCCTTATTCTTTTCAGGGCTGTGTTTTTTGAGGCATCCCGGTTAAGGATGCCCGCGTGAAGGTTGTAGCCGCTTTCGGAATTGCTTTCCTTCGCAACAAGAATGGCCCGGCAGTCAAAGAGTTCCCTAAACCGGTCCCTCACCCACTCAGGATTTGCGGTTGGTCTGCCCTGCGCTGACTGAGTCTAAAAGTATATATGGCAAAAAAGTAGAGATCTTAGTTTTAGTCATGGTGATTGTTTAACATCTAGTCAACTAGGTTCTGAATGAGAATTAGAAAACTCGCAATTTCCAATTGTCTCTAGACTTTACCTGCTTTATTTTGCTTACCAATGAGGCTTTACGGCCAGCAGTTTAGCCAAAAGCAAAAGAAAATAAGGATTACCTATTAGCCCTATCCTATTTTGACTGGGAAATTTAGAAGACAAAAACGAGAAGATAGATCTTGCAGCTGCGTCTTCGTCTTTGCGTCTTTATTATGAAATTGAACAGGAAAGAACTTCGAGCAAATCGACGGTTCAGGTTTGTCCCGCAAATCGGGCGCCGAGGACACTCATTAGGAAAAGCTCCAACCTCGGGTCCTGGGAACGGCTTTGATTTCGGAATATGTACCTTTCCACATAAGAAGCTGCTACTCGGCTAGAGCTTTCAGTCATCATTTTTTGATATTTCG